GATGCTAGCCGTAAAAAAGACATGGAAATGTTCAAACAAATATGGGAAAACTACGAAATTTCTTCGCAACTAATSGAYCACCCAAAGAGACGCCGAACGGCGACACTATTGACATGTTTTTCACCTTCTGCTCTCAAGATCTACAACAGTTTATCATTTGATAATGAAGATGACAAGAAAGACATCGATAAAGTCTTGGAAAAGATGTCAGCATTTTGCACAGGAGTRATWAATGAGACATATGAGAGGTATTTATTTAACACTCGATCGCAAAAAGCCAACGAAAGCATAGATGAATTTTATGCGGCTCTACTTTCGCTGTCCAAAAACTGTGCTTTTAAAGAATTGCAAACATCATTGATCAAAGACAGAATAATCGTCGGTATGCTTGACAATTCCACACGACAAAAACTGTTATCAGAGAAGGAACTTACACTAGAGAAGTGTACGGAAATTGCTAGGTCTTTCGAAGCAACGAAACAACGGATGAAAACTATGGAGAAAGGGGAAGAAGCCAGTGTTCAACGAGTGCACAAAACGCAACACAAACAACAAACCAAGAGTAAGTCATCCTCAGAAGGTAAGCCCAAGCCATCAAGTAATAAGAAATGCTTCTTTTGTGGTAAAGACATGCACAAAAGACAGTCCTGTCCTGCACGAAATGCCACATGCAATAACTGTSGAAAGAAAGGTCACTTTAAAGCTGTTTGTCAATCACCAAATGTGCATGAAGTTCAACAGGACAGGGACGAAGAAACACCACAGGAAAATGTATTTCTTGGCTCAGTTCACCACCAATCATCTAATTTGACTAGTTCAAAAAACTGGACTGTTGATGTATGTATAGACAATAACATTGTCAACTTTAAGATAGACACTGGTGCGGATGTCAACATTATCTCAGATAAGATTTATACAAGTAAATTCAGTCACAAGCCTCTATTATCACCTAGCAAAGTAATCAAGRGCCCAGATCAGAAACCTCTGCCCATACTCAGCTACATAAAGTGCTCTATCTCTAAAGGGGACAAATCCAGTCATGCTGATGTTTACGTTTTGAAAGGGGGGACACCTTTACTGGGACGTGAAAGCAGTGGTACCCTAAACATTGTCAGTCTAGTWAACAACATTGAAATCTATCCTCATTTATTCAAGGGACTAGGTGAAATGCCTATTAGAAGATATAAGATTGAAACCCGATGCTAAACCCTTTGCCATTCAGTATYCTAGAAGGATAGCCATTCCACAGATGACTAAATTAAAGAAGGAACTAGATCGACTGGAATCTCTGGACGTCATCAAACGTATAACCGAACCTACAGAGTGGTGTGCTCCGATTGTAGTTGTACCCAAATCAAATGATCAGGTAAGATTATGTGTGGATTATACTCGATTGAATGAAGCTGTGAAACGAGAGAAACACATGTTGCCCACTGTCGATCAAGTACTTGCACAAATGGCTGGAGCTACTGTCTTCTCTAAACTGGACGCGAACTGTGGGTTCCACCAGATAAAGCTCACAGAMGAATCCAAGCCACTCACTACCTTTATAACACCATATGGCAGATTTTGCTACAATAGACTTCCCTTCGGGATAAATTCAGGTCCAGAACACTTTCAAATGCAGCTTCATAGAATACTAGAAGACCAACCTGGTGCTGTCAGTCTCATCGACGACACAGTAGACTATGGAAAAGATCTCAAAGAGCACGATGAAAGGCTCAACCAAGTCCTAGAAAAGCTATCAAAAGCAAAGATCACTCTCAACAAAGAAAAATGCCAGTTCAGAAAGTCAGAAATCTCATTCCTTGGCCAAACAGTCGGCAAGGACGGCATCAAGCCAGACAAAGCAAAAGTGTCAGCAATTGTCAACATGGAAGCACCCCAGAATGTTGGTGAACTTCGCAGGTTCCTCGGCATGGTTAATCATTTAGGAAAGTTTTTGCCCAAMTTGTCCACAGTAACAGATCCTCTTCGTGGATTGTTAACCACAACTACAATCATAGACAAATTATTTAGGGACACCTATGTATTTTAACATAGATTTACACTATGCATCAGAATTCTTTATATTCCGGCCCCCCTTACTCCCCCCTTACTCCCCCCGTACCCCCACATTCAATGTTGTGAGTCCCCTTACCGGTTGGACTGTCCACACACAACACCTTAACACCTCTTTCAACATTGATCAGGGGGAAGGGGGGAAGAAAAGAATATAAAACAAATACCTAGCATAAAAACATTTTGTACCAAGTAAAATGACCATGATTGTAGCATTTGGCACTGGGATCAGCCCCAAATACATGCTTTCAAAGAAATAAAGAGAATGCTTACCTCGGGCCCAGTGTTATCGTTGTATGATCCAAACCTGCCAACCAAAGTAACATCAGACGGAGCTCATCATACGGACTCGGTGCAGTACTTACCCACAAGCAATCAGATGGACGCTGAATCGCAAGAAATCGAAAACTTCGTAAACATAGTGATGGAAGGAATCCCTGCAACAGACACTCGACTAATGCAAATTCGCCAACATCAATCAGAAKATGACGTTTGCAAAGAAGTCATTAACTATGTCCAAGAAAGCTGGCCAGACAAAGATCAACTCAACGGTATCACACGACATTATTGGCCATTCAGAGCAAGTTTAACARTAATTGATGGTTTACTCATGTACGACTCAAGAATTGTAATTCCCTCTTCACTTCGTCAAGACATACTAGGAAAACTTCATGAAGGTCATCAGGGGATCGCAAAATGTCGACGACTTGCCATTCAGTCAGTATGGTGGCCAGGCACTAAGCAAGAACATCAAAGAGTTGATAGAAAACTGCAGAGTGTGTTGCCAAGCAAAAAGATCACACCCTGAACCACTGAATCCCACCGTCATGCCACAACGACCTTGGCAAAAGCTTGCTGCAGATCTCATGGAGATCAAGAAATCACAATACTTAGTAGTAATTGACTACTACTCGCGTTACATAGAACTTGCAAAACTTGAAAACTCAACTACAAGCAAGGAAGYGATAAACCACCTTAAGTCAATCATGGCAAGGCATGGAATCCCTGAAACAATGCTAACGGACAATGGTCCACAATTTTCCTCTAAAGAATTTTCGTTATTTGCTAATGAATATGGATTCAGCCATGTAACAAGCAGTCCTCTACACTCATCAGGAAATGGAGAAGTCGAAAGAGCGGTTCGTACTGCTAAAGATCTGATAGATGGAGCTAAGGACCCATATATTGCATTGTTGAATTACAGAAATACACCCCTTAACAATGGATACAGTCCAGCACAGTTGCTGATGTCAAGACAGCTAAGAACAAAGATACCGGTCATTCCCACACAGCTACAAGCTTCCACTCCAGATCAACACATGCTCCGGGAGAAAGAAGAGAGAGGAAAGATAAAYATGAAACTCAACTTTGATACGCATCACTCAGCTAAACCCTTACCTGTTCTGCAACAAGGAGATCAAGTATGGATTAAAGACAGAAAAGAAAGTGCAACAGTCAAAGATAAAGTGCATGAACGATCATACCTTGTCGAAACACAGAATTCCACGTTCAGGAGAAACAGAGTGCAGCTGAATAAGTTACCAAAGAAAGGACCTAACTTGACCCAATCTACACCCACAACAGCAAACGAAAAGCAAAGAAAGGACGAAACCGGAACAGCCTACAGCCCAACAGAACGCTCGAGAAGCTAAAGCTATGCTAAGCCCTCATTTACAGCCAACCTTACAAACCAGATCCGGAAGAACCATTAGGAAACCAGACAGACTTATTGAACAATGAACTTGAACTTGTTGATGACATGTATTAGCTAGAAAAGTGAGATGTAGTCATATATTGTAATCGTATAGTTTGGATTACCTGTGTATGTTTATAGATAGTTCGGGTTACCTGTGTCTTGTAACATATCTAACATGGCGGTTTAGTAAATCACACGAGACAACAATCCGTCTAAATCTTTATCTAAATCATCCATCGTAACACAACATGCATAGAGATTAAGATCTATAAGTTGTAATGCTGTTGTAATTTGAACACCAACTTGTCCAAGAGTAGAGGGATTCAATGTACCAGATTTTACTAGTGCTTGCAATAATATGAGCCAGTTAACCACAGGACAAGTGTTAACCAGCTTCACACCACAACTTGTTGTACCACCCCATGGAATTACATGTAGATAAGGTGTTTTAGAAACCGAATTAGAAGAAGTACAAGTAGTAAGCTTGTTTGCTGTAAGAGGATGACTATTCGACGCTGTAAGGGGATGACTATTTGACGCTGTAAGAGTTTGGCTATTCGATGCTGTAAGGGGATGGTTATTCGACGCTGTAAGGGGATGGCTATTCGACGCTGTAAGGGGATGGCTATTCGATGCTATAAGGGGATGACTATTCGACGCTGTAAGAGGTTGGCTATTCGACGCTGTAAGAGGTTGGCTATTTGATGCTGTAAGGGGATGGATATTCGATGCTGTAAGGGGATTGCTATTCGATGCTGTAAGGGAATGACCATTTGTTGCTGGACAGGGTTGACTACTGCTCTTCAGAAAGTTGTCTGACATTATAAATGGTTTAAGGTCTCTCGGAACGCGCATTTCAAACAGTTCTGGTCCTATCACTCTTTGCCACAGAGCTGTCAATGCTTTCAGTAACTTTTCCAATAATGTCTCGTCCCYGTAAATCCTTTCTACACTAACTGGTCCATTAGGGAGTACAATACAAAGTCACAAAATGTTCTTTCAGTAACTAGTAGTTGATGCTGGATTTGATAATAATAGGTGTTTTTTTGAGCACACATCTATTCCCGTCTATAGAGAAACAYTGCCTTTTAATAACATCTTTTGTAAGTAAAGTTCCATTGTCATTAACAGTGTCATTAATACTGTGGTCTTTGAATACTTTTAGTGACTTAATCTCCAAAACTCCATCGTTACCAATCAACCCAACAGACGAACAAGCAAGATAGGGGAAATCAGAATTAACCCATAACCCTGTGTGTGGTTCGTTCAAGGTGCCACAAAGCACTGTCGCTTTGGCCCTCAGTACCCTCAACCTGCTTTAAACATGCAGGGGTAAGATTTCTAGTAAGACTTTGTACGTTTTTTTTCAAGAGTAAAATCGATGTCTGTGATATTATAATCACGATATGTCATTTCGAGTTGAGTCTCCCACATCGAAACATCTTTTTCGTACTGCGAAATAGATTGAAGGCCAGTTACTAATGTATTAATGTTCTCTGCTGTAATTTTCCTAAACTCTTGAGGTCTTGGATCAAAATCAATGACATCCATTTTAGAAATTTTCCGTTTGGTTGTGTATTGTGCATCTGAAAGCCTTTGTGGATTTTGTTTTTCGCTTTTTACCCTTGTTCCAGGAACATTCCTGGCTATTACATGGCGTCGTGTTTCTTGAACCGTGTAGCATGGATTTCATACCTCATATATGTTTGCAATAATTTTGATGCCACAGACGTAACAATGTGTCCGGCCATTTCTGCTCGAACTTTTACGCAAGTAATCCGTAAGATGTTGATGTCACCAAAGCCTAACCTTCGTCGAAAGCTACAAAAGCCTTTCGTTTCACTTTCGTACTTTGCGACAGCTCTCGAAACCATCCGAAGCGAATGTAAAAACCCGAGCGTTCTCCGAAAAAGTGTCCCATCTACCTGGGGCACACATCGGTCCATGGCGAGCCAAATGCTTCATTATCATTTTCTTCTTGTAAAACAAATCCCAAAGACCCAAACTCATGAAGTAAATGGAAAATCATAGTACATGGGGTGTATGGGGTGTTGAAGCGCAACTCTCGGATTTATCCGCTAGATTTAGAAGGCAGTGCTTTGTAAGCCCTGCTAAATCTAAACGCCTATCACACTCAAGCCAGACTCCACCTCCGTCACTAGGACAGGTGCACCCTGGGTAGCTCGGCCTTGCGGTTGAGTGAGCTAACGGAGTCACTGGCGACTAGGAAGTGAAGTAGCCTCTTTCTCTTAGTTAAATAAAGCGATTATTATCAGTGCTTAAAAGGTAATGTAATCGAGTCTTCGTAGATATCTTCAGATATCTGATTGATTGTTATTATTATTAGCTGTTTTTTTTTCTACCAGAACTTATATATTGTGTGTTCGATATGGGTAAGCTTGAAATGAAGAAGGATAACCACATGTTCCGGATGGGATCTATCAATGTCAGAACGTGCAAGTGCGAGAGTAAACTGGCCGACTGTGTGGCACAGTGTAAGAGACTAGGACACGATGTAACATGTATGCAGGAGGTTCGCCAAAAGGGTAATGGTACGATTTGCTTTGAAGATGTATTTTTGAGAGGATGGCGTGTAGTGTACAATGGACTGAAAGTTGCTCGTGCAGGTGTTGCTGTTGTCCTCGCTCCACATGTTATACTGATTGATGTCCAAYATATCTTAGAAGGGCGACTAACAATGGTAAGAGTTAATGCGAATGGGATTAAACTAGCAATCTATAGCTGTTATTGCCCTACGGAAGAACATGCAAATAGCACTAAAGAAGCCTTCTATCGAACTCTGTGTAAGGCTATTGTACAGACCAAAAAAGACCATTCATCTTATAAAGTTATTGCTGCTGGTGATTTTAATGCCACCATTGGTCATGATTGCGACCCTACGAGCTGGAAATGCCTTGGCCTCCACCACGATCCAGACCCAACAAGTTTTAACGGTACGAAACTGATCSAAACAGCASAAGACACATCYTTATATATTCTCAACACTATGTTTGCAACGAAATCAGATGAACATAGATGGTCTTTCAAGTCCAATTTGGGATATAAAAGAAGATTGGATTACATCATGGCTGAATGGTTTGTCAAACGTGCAACCTGGAATTGTAGAGTGTACCCAATGCAGAGTCAACCTTATGAATCAGATCACCGCATCGTCGTCATGGACGCTAGTTTCCCAACTAAAAGGACATTGAAAAAAGATGTTCCCTAAGAGCCGACCCCCGACTTCTTTTCCAGACATACGACAGCTAAGAGATGATCCATCTGTCCAAGCCGCATACAGTAGCAAGCTTGACACATTGTTATACAGTCAGCCACCAAATAAAGATCTGACAGTTGAAGAAGTCGAAGAATTAGTGACGAATGCCATACAAAGCGCCTGTACAGAAAACAGATGTCAAGGAACCGACAAAGTGTATGCTGAACATCTAAAATACTCAAATTCTGGCGTGATCTTGAAATACATTACCATACTGATTGGAATGATATGGTCTTCCCTAAAAATCCCCACGAACTGGCTGTCAGCGTCCATCACTTGCCTCTACARGAAAGGCTTGAAATCCCTGCCTGAAAATTACAGAGGTCTTAGTATAATCTCTACCATCTCAAAGGTGATGTCGGCGATTTTAATTACACGAATCCGACAGAACTACGAGTCAATACTGTTACCATCTCAATTTGGTTTTCGAGAAAATAAATCAACATGTGATGCAATCTTCATCCTACGCCAAATACTCAAGACATCGAAGAAGTCAAAAAGACCTCTCTATGNTTATTATCAGTCGATGGACTCCAAAGATTCCCACAATCATCACCTTTACAGCTACATTTCTGAGCACAGAATCCACAACATTTGTGCAGCAAATGTAAACATGACACTTTACTATCAAAGTGGGACATGAGCCAAACACGAGCACATCCTTCATGCTGGACATAGTTTTTCATATCCTTATCACTGAGTGATGACAGTAATCCATTGAAGAGTAAAATGCAGCAGCTTGGAAGACCATCACGTCCTGCACRACCACATTCCTGAATGTACTGTTCAACAGTCTTGGAGGGTCCAAAATGAATGACTCTTCTCACTTCAACTTCAATTTGTTCATTTTTATCAATGTACTTCAAACAGTAAAACAAGTTCGGTCTTTCTGGTGACTGCTCTATCATCAGAAATTTTGTTGGTGCCAAGTTTAGAGTTGCAATTATTTGTTTTTTYGTTTCCTGGGTGGCAGTTGCAGTCAAGACCATCAATTGGGTGCCTTTTGGAATAAGTGAGTTTAATTCACCTAAGCAYGCATACCATTTTCGAAATGGCACCTTTTTTGTGTCTGACAAACCCCTGTGAACAAACAAAAAGTATATCAGAAAACTGAAAACATGGTATTGTAAGTTTACCTATGTTGTTTGGTGGATTTTAGTTTATTTTCAGTGTTTGTATTTTGTGAAATTTCCAGCACAGGCTAAAGTATTCATGATAGAACCAGTATATCAAAACTCTTATGTCAATATTCCGTAAATATATCAAATGTACGTTGAAGTTTTTTTGGTACTTGGAAATAAATGTGTTTATTTAAGCTTAAGAGAACAGACATGTTTTGTCGTGTGCAAAAKAGCATTTTTTCATTTGATATATAACCTTACGGTGTACTAATATGGTGTTTAATACGGTGCTAACATGTCACAGAATCTAAACAATWAAAAGTAAACTACCTACCACTGAACTATGCAGTGAGCTTCATCTACCACCACGCCAATCAACTTCTCTCTGAAACTTGGAGTACTAAATAACCCTCGCCATGTTGTTGTCGACAGAAAACACTCGGGAGAGCCAAACACAACAATATAGTTGCCATTCATGACCTGTTGAATAATGTCAGGATCTTCCTCGTCGCCAATGGAAATCGCTGGAACACCCACACTGCCCAGATAATTAACATG